GCTGGTCTAGGAGGTGTGGGAGGGGAGAGTTGGAGTAGATATGATCAAGATGCATTGTATATGTGTGTGTGTAGTTGTCAAAGGTTATATAAAAAATATTTTTAAAAACCCCCCAAAATAAAAGCTAGTGCTCAGTTGGTATAGTGCTTACCTACCATGCACAAGGCCCTGAGTTTCATTCGCAGCACCGTGTAACATCAGGTGTGGTGGCACATACCTATGATCCAGCACCTGGGAGGTGGAAGCAGGAGGATCAGGAGTTCAAGGTCATCCTTGGCTACATAGAGAGTTTGAGACTAACCTAGGATACATGAGACCCTATCTCACAAAAAATAATAAAGAAAGAAAATATTCATATTACATTATCTTTTAATTACTTTTACATATGTCTAATATAAATATATCTTAGTGAATAAAATGAACTGTAAAAATATTTTCTTTTTTTAAGAACTTCATACATGAGTATTGTATTTGCATTATTTCCATCCCTCCCAGTCCCCCTTCAACTTCACCCATGTTCCCCCCTCAATTCTTTTCTTCTTCTTTGATTATTATTTTATACACACATGCATTTATAAATATATGTGTGCATATAAATATATATAATCTTGCATTGGAACTGAGCAAAGAGGGAAATTTAAAAAGGTGATTGATAAAATGGCTGGCCTCTACATCCCATCTCTCCAGGAGGCTACCTGCTCTTTTAACTTGTACTGTGATTTAGTCTGTACAAATTACAAACTCCACAGGGTATCTTCTCAATATAGAAAGGGCTTATTCTGTGAACAGGTACTAAATCACGCATTTACAGAGTTTATTGTGTAGGGAGTTTGCTTTGAATCATCAGATGGATGGGTGTTCTGCTTTCAAAATAATGCTAGCTAATGAGATCAGTTATGACCTTTATATAGTGAGAATTTCCACACCAGGGGCACCTCAGGTTTACCCTTTAACCAGTACCCCTCTGGGTAAGACTGTGTTATTGTTATCACCTTACTTTTGTGTATTCTAGAAATTGGTAGAAATAGTAAATAGCATAGTTGAACCCTGACTTGTGCCCAGACACAATAAAAGAAAGCCAGCTGTCACTCAAAGTTGCATGTCTTACACAGATACATGAAGGCTGTCATTGAGTTGGATGCCTACAGCAAAATCCAGGTTGGGATATGGAGATATATTTATGGGAATCCAAACATATTAATTAACGACTTTAACAGAGTAATCTGTAGAAGATAGTCCTGTGAGTTGGGGAGATGGCTCAGCCAGTAATGCACTTGCTATGCAAGCATCCTGACTTTGGATCCCTAGCACCCACGTAAAAAGCCAGGCATGATGGTGCATGCTTGTAACCCTAGCTCTGGGGAGGCGGAAACGAGAGGCTCCCTGGAGCTCACTGGCTAGTCTTGCCAAGTCATCATGCTCCAAGTTCAGTAAGAGGCCCTGTGTCAACACTAGGTGGAGAAAGATAGAGAGGAAAGAAACCCAGCAAGATCCTCTGGCCTCCACGCCCATGCACATACACACATGTACGTAT